ACAAAATGCAGGAAAGGGGCAGCACAGAAGTCAAGGCTGCAGGTAAACCCCCCCGCTCCAGCATCATTATCCCCCCAGGGGTGGAGAGCTGGGGTGGGGGGAACAGCCCCCATCACACTTTGCACCACAGCCTCAGGCCAAGGGCCACCCCAGCCCTGGCCACGGCTTCCGAAGCTTAAATGCACATCAAACCAGTTCTTTCCCAGCTGAAAAGAACAGTACGGGGGAGGAGTTGTCCCTGGAGAAAAATCCATTCATGCTGGCAGCTGGCGGGCTCTCAAGGTTAGCTGGAAAAGGATGCCACAGGCAGGGGCCGGTTGCCACAGGCAGGGCCTGGCGTTTGAGCCGGCGGCTTCAGTGCTGCTGCTCCCCCAGAGCAGTCAAAAAAATCCCTTTTTCCCCTCCCTCCCCCAGTTCAAGGCCATGGGAAGACTCAGCCCCCACCGATTTCTTCTCCCCCTTTCCATGCCCAGGGCTGACAAAAGGGCAGCAGAGCCCCGTGGAAGCAGAGGAGGGGGATAAGGAGAAAGATGTTTCCCTTCCTCTCTAACGCCACCTGCTCCCAGGTTTTCCTTCATGCCTCGTTACCCCGACTCTCAGGAAGCGAAGCCGTTAAGAGGTCAAAATGCAGCATCTTGTAAGTGTAATAACCCAAAAGTACAGTTTCTGCTCTTAAAATTAATGACACAAACTACATGCAAGTTACAAAACCCCCCCAAAACAGCAGATAATCAAATTCTTCATAGCAAAGGCCAACAGAAGAGAGAGAGTAAAATCAAAAACCTGCTTCCCCTCACCTTCCTGCTACAGACAGGGTGAGGGGAGGGAGAGAGACAAACACTCAGTATGTCCTGGACAGAGAAATGTATTTGCTCCAGAGAATGTCCCCCCTATCTCCCCGCACCCTAAAACAAGACATGGAGAACTAATAGTCATAAACGTAGGCCAGCTGAAGCTAAAAACTGGACCTCATCTGGAGTCGGCATCACAGAGCTAACACGGTACCCCCAAAAAGTGCATCTTTAGAAAAAAACAAAAAAAATAAAGAAGGTTGGGGTGACGATGGCAGAGGAAGCGAGGGGGAGGCAGCCCCGGGAAGGGCTAGTTGCCCCGGAAAGCACTCTGTGCGGCTGAGGAGGCCACGCCAGCAGCTGCGTTCTGGAAGCCCCTGTTGGTGAGGATGCCTTGGGAAAACTCCTCCTGGGCCCTTTGGAAACTGGCTCCCGTGCGCCGATACAGGGAATGCACCTGGGAAACAGAAGGAGAGGAAAAAAAAAAATTAAAAATCAGTGCGCAGTCGTGGGCTTGCTGCACCCCCCTCGCTTGGCAGTTTGCTATTCCTCAGC